AGGCCATATATCTTCTAGTACAACTATGGATTTTGATACTTAAAGAATCCACGAGGTCATTTAATAACCGCATTATCTCGAATTACTACGTCGTTCGTTGCAAAGTAAAGATTATTCATTTATTGTGTTATTGATTTTGAGTCCATAAGACAGTCGCATTCACTAACGCTTGCTCATAAGTTTTGGAGTTCATTTCTGGTACAACCGCAGTTTATGCAACTTATGCATTCCTGGTGGATTTGGTAAAATACGTCGTGGGAGGAACCACAGTGTCAAGACCCTACAGTCGGGAGTGAAGTTGTGGCTTTCCACTGATTTCAATGGACTCATTGATGCACCACATACACACACAAATGACTGAATTTATAACCACTTGATTATCGCCTCAACATTAATAATTGCCATTACACTTTGCCCAAATGAACTTACCCCGTGAGTAAACGATCGACGAAGCTGTTAGCTTCGACTCGCAAATCCATCACTACAGTAAGAGGCTGTCTGCTTATACAGGCATAAATATCATCTAGTATTTTGTGGATTTTCAATAACTGGCCGCTAGACCCGAAATCGGAAGGGCCTGCATCCGCGAATTGGATTACCACAATGACAAATGCGTGCCCGAGTTTTCGCACACGTCCGAGTTAGAATCTGGAGTTTGCCATTAAATTCCTACGTTTTGTACCATTTGGACTGAAACTGAAACTGCTATTGGTATCTCTCTAGCCGTTACAACAACTATTATCCTCCAACAGTGAAGGAGTTCAATATTGATTACATTTGATCATGAAAGCAATGGATTTTATCAGTGTCAAGTTAGTAAGGGAACATATTATGGAAAATCCATGGATTTAGAAGTATTTGACTGCAAAGCTTCACGGACATTAATTAAAGACGACAGTCTCATAAAGTAAATAAACAGAAGGTGCTGCAAAGCACTTCCTTTTTTCGTTGTGCTACATTATGCAAATTATCATTGGTTGATGGCCCAGATATCCCAAGTATATTCATCGCAGTCGCCACAAGCACTGTCTTTTCAGGTGTTTGCATACCTATCAGTCAAGTGTCCAGTAGGTCGACACCGACTGAACCGTTGTTCACTGAACAAAATAAGTGGCAGATAATTTATGATTTTAGGATTTCTATTTAACACAAAGCTACGATAGGATAGACCGTGCTCAAAACCGTATACAATGAAACAGTGGTAAACTTCTGGGTAATCACTTCACAGTGTCTTGTGACTAGTCACAAAAAAACGCGCATCCATCTGTCACAGATTTTCACGTCTTTCACGTCACCTAGCACAGTCGTCAGACATTCATTCTAATCGTTACAACCCCGTGTTAAATGATTATATGTTTGCGAAAGAAATACCTACTGAAAGGGATTTGTACTTCGCAAGTTGGTTTAGCGGCTTTCGTGATTCCATCTGAAGGCGACACCCCATTGTTTTTAACAGTTTTCCCTGCTAGGACACTGAGAGCCAGCAAGGATACTCTGTGCTATCTGCTGATTCCAGAATTACATCCATAGGATCATTCCTATTGACGCAACGACTCAATGTGTGGTTTCAAGTACATTCGCCCATCGCTGGCACTTGTGACAATTATCCACCCAAACAAGGCAATTCCAATGGGGTTGGCTTACAGGAAGTAGTGTAGATCAATAAGCTAGACGAACTCCATGTACGTGTGTCCTCGTCGTGACACAATTACCTAGAGTAAACGATCTTGGGCGTGCAGCGAGAACAAAGCATGCAAGTGTCATTTACCCTCTTCCTCAAGTGACCAGACAAGGCAGCGTTCGTCTGCAAAGATGGCCCTCAATGGGCTTGACTTCGTTTAACAGAAAGGTTGTGAGCATACTTGTGCACAAATAGTCAAAAGGGACAGTATTTATGTAGTTTGTGGCCTTCTGTTTTACCTCCCTGTGCTGGTTTAAGTGAGCTAGATTTAAGAGACAAGTAAACTTGACTGATACGTCCTAGTATTGCCATAGTTGCAGAGTAATCCCAATGCTCCTTTGTATCAAATCACTTGTGAAAATTTTGTAAAGCTGACTGAAACAGTTCGGCAAATGGCGAGCAACAGAGCTTTAACATTAGCATCTAACAATAACGATCTTATTCTAAAGAAAGCTTCTTAGAGCTCTGTCCCTAAGTCGAAGACTAAAGTCAGTTTTACTAACCGCCCAACAGCAACTGCGCCACTTACTCCAACAATTACTAAATATTTAAGTAGGAAGCCAAATCCGGCTATTAACACATCTCCAGATGCCATATCTCAAGAGTTGGTCACAAAACAGGCAGTCCAGAGCCGACTAAACTATGCGTCGATCGCCCGGATAAAAGCACTTAAAACAGAGGCGTAAGTTTGTTTTCTGGACCAAGCACGAGCGATGCAAGACCGTTGCCACGGCATTCTTTATTGCCCGCTAAGCAATCCAAGTTCCCAGCCGCCGCACTCAAACAGACATTCTCTAAACAGGACCGCAGTGCATCCCTGAGTCCAGAGTTGGCACAAAGGACAGTCACCACACTGGTAATGCACGCTTCTGAACAGAAACCCTTCCATCATCAAAGGAGATGCGTCATTTCTGAGGAACAGAACACGCAAATGCATGTGCTTGAGAGACATAGACTGGAGAGCTCAGAAGAGTTCCGGAATCCCGAAACCTGTTTGCCTATGTGGCACATGTAAATTCTGTGTTAGTTTGATCCACGAGGACCATTTGACACATCAGCAGGAGTTAATGAATAGATTTTTTACGAATCGGTAACTGCGATACAGGCATCTTAATGGACGTCGTAAGGTGCATCGCGGAATTCCAGCACTGGTCAAGAATGAAGGGTGCTCGCGATCAGAAACGGAAGCAAACGATCTCCTACGGTTCCATTACTCACCAACATTCAAGTGAGTAACGGGTCTAAAGGTTATCCGTTTCTAGTGTCTCACCTTCAACTATATCCAACATGACAATTACCCTAGAAACGCTTTCAAGGAAACCGTTGTCTCTGCATATCCACAGCTCTCTTGGTATCGATAACGTTCAACCGCAATCTGTATAGGTAGCAGCTAGTGATCCGGTGGAACCTGCGCCTATATTTTATCAGGGCTGTATGAAGAATCAGTGTATACCAACAATATGGAAGGGAGCTGATATCACGGCTTTTCAAAAGCTAGGTAGTTGCACTGACACAACTAATTACCACTCGATAACGTTACTCCCGGTACTTTTCGATGTTAAGGAGTCTATCAACACTGATGCACTTATGCGTACCTTGAAACTCAAAACATGAGAGCACCAGAGCAACATGTCTTCCGAAAAAAGTCGCAAGCACTACAAATCTGTTAAATGGACGCCATAGCTGGACTGAAGCAGTTGATGGTGCAGCAGGGGTCGACGCCACTTAGTTACACTTCTCAAAAGCTTTCGATCGTTTTTACCACCAAAATCTCCTTCATAAACTACCGCCCTACGGCACTCGTGGCTCACTGTTGCGTTAGGTAGACAATTTTCTGCAGGAACCGTGTTTGCATTTCAGAGTAGCTGAATCATTGGCCTAGGCAACTGAACTAGAGTGCGGCGTACCACAAGGCTTGGTGATCGGACCCCAGCTTTTTTCTGTTTCATATATCATCTGGCAAACGAAATTACCCGCTTTCCTACGCTCCGCGGATGGCATCGAGTTATGGCGAGCGATGAGAGAATGCATGGACCACTAGAAGCTCTAGCGTGGCCTCAATAGGGTTTTAATCTGGTCAATTCTAAATAAAATAATGTGTTACAGGTGAAAAATGTCACCCTGTTCCATTTTACCATCGGAATGACAACGTATATAGGTTGGGGTCAAATGTATTACAAACAACTTCCCAAGAAGGCGACCTTCGTGTGCTCAGTCAAAATGACCTTAGCTGTTCAAGACTGCCAGAGGCAGCTGCCAAGTCAGCAAACCAACATATCGTCTTACTGCGAAGAGCGTTCATAAGATGCGACTTACCAACCTTACTCTTGATGCATAATTACTACGTGTGCCCTCACGTTGAATACATCATGCATCTTGGCAACATTGGTTGAAGGGCGATTTAGAAGTGCCTGAGAAACCACAACGCAGGGCCATAAAGAACGTCAAGGGCTTACGAAATCTGTCCTACCAGCAAGGGTTGAATTCACTGGGAGTTTTCAGTGGCCTCTACTGGTTGCTGTGCGGCGATCTCATATTAGTCTGCCAAGTACTGGGTCACGCTAATCACATATGTCGTCACTTGCTGAAACTCAGCCATAACACCAATCTTAGAGGTAACCGTCTGAAATTGTGTACACAGTATAGCCACCTGAAATGCCGGTGGCACTAGATTCCTCTTCGGGTGATCCAACACTGGAGCACTCTCCAAAACTTTATTGTATCCGCCCACATCTTGGGTCATTCCAAAAAACGATTAGGTCTTGCTGTGGGCCTCAATCACATCGTTGCCTATACTATGCTAGTTTGGAATATAATAATTATCCCTTCAAGCGGGATTAACATTTAACATTAACCTCCTCCTAAAGAGGCGATGTTAGTATTTTCGTTTTTACCATACTCACGGAGTACAAACATAAAACTGTCCCCACTTTGCGTCATCCTTCGCATTCAATTCCAACGGCTTATATACTAGCTAAACGCTTAAACAGACAAAGCACATATCATTTGACATTGTAATTGTATTAGCACCACCGTGCGGCACCTGGCAAGCAACTATTATTTTACCGGGCATAAAGCATTGTTCATTGTTCATTGTTCGAATATCCTGGTGATACAAAGGTGCTTTGCAATCACGCCACTCCGAGGAATCGATATCCACAAATGACTTTTAAATAAGCCATAATGTTGTAAACCATAGTGAATAAACTCATTGGCAATTCTGCGAATTGTGCAGGATTTGAATGGATAGTTTTATCAGTGAACTAAACAGTCCATAATTATTTATAGTGATGTCTTTTTGCCAATTACCAGAATATACCATGTGAATTAGATGCCATTTACCTGTGGAATAATTTCCTTTGAATCGCCAATGCTCATCGCTACGTTGAACAGTCAGCAATGCCGTGATACTGTTTCCAGGTGAAATGAATAGTTTATTTTCCGGGTACCACAGATATCCTATCCATCTGGACATACAATCTGGACCGTCGAACACAAAGAATATCATGTTCAAATTTTGAGACTGAAAGAGAAACCAAGGAATAACAGCATCAATTTGCTTAAAAATCGCATGCATTAGTAAGTATTAAATACGTGAGTTGTTCTGTTAAATAGTAAGCAGTCGCGTACTTCACCACCGACCGCAACAAAATAAACCATCTCTCTGGCTACTCTGAACAAGTTTTAGGGATCTCACTCTGGGTACTATGATGGGAGTGTCATACATTTTCCTCATGGAGAAAGCAGCTAACTAAACTTACTTCAATCTCAAGGAATCTCAGAGAAACTTGATTTTTGGAAGAAACACTAATTTGATAATTGCAGAACTTGTCACCATAATCATTGTCCGGGTACATTAGGTTGTGAATTGTTCCCTCCTTTTTGCCGTTGTGGATTACATTGCATGTTAGATCTACGTTTCTATCTACAAGAAAAAAACAATAATTAAATATGGATTTCTCGAGTTATTTTCGTATGAACAATTTTGCCCTCTTCTTTCGGAAGAACTGAAACCGATTACTTTAATAATACTATTATTGTTGCTACCAATAATAATGTATCAGTTGAACGCCGTAACTGCCCTTCGCTCCGGTCCGACCACTGCCACTCACGCGCGGGATGAGTGTACCACGAGGAGGCCCACACCCACACGGATTCAAACGGGGGACCTTATGTTTGCAACCTAGGTGCGCAGATTACTCAGCCACCGGCCATCGGCTTATAATGGGGCTTTGAGGTAGCTATCTTGAAGACAGTTAATGACGTGCAATCTCAGTGATAGTATTGACCGAGCACTTCTATACTGCGAACCGTTGGTCTAATTCAAATTGCATGCTTCAAATGAAGTACATGGTGATGATTGCAAAACCTAACGATGAATTTCCAACAGCTGTTTTAGCCTTGCCTTTGAAGTGTAAGGACAGAGTGACCACCGTCCATCTTTAATATAATGTCAAAGGCTAAGAACCGACGAAGGAACGAGGATATCGTAACTTCTTCCCGACGGAAGCGTTCGCGCCGCGCTTCGGTGTCTTAGGGAAGAAGCTTCGGAGGACATCCCAGTTGCACTCGACTTCCGAGCATGATGTTTCTACCCGATGATGAAAATTAGTTCAAACCCGGCCTAAGAGTGCAGTGTTCTCGGGTTCGCAACTTTTAATTTCCAACCTGTCGTTTTAGTCGGTAAGTAGAGGTTAGCCTGATAACACAAAGCCACATGAATCAGCCAAATGAATAAGAAGATAACTGAGGTAATCTTTTCGTAAGCCGGGAATATAATATTGACGGTTGTGGTTTAAGTAAGAACAACCTATGTGGATAACATTTTGTGGAATATTCTTCATATTGCACAGACACACGCTTGTTTGATGTGGGCAGTTCACGGTTCCGCGTTTATTTATGTCTCATGGAGTCTCATGGCCAACCTGCGCAATATGTAACAGTGCGTTGTGTAATGCACACAATTCAACAGTGAGTATTATGTGGACAAAGCCAAACGGATCTATGCAAAGCAGACTAAGAATGAATTGCTTCATATGAATGCGATAGACACTTGTGAGGATTACGAAAAGACGAGTTCTGTTGTATATTCTAGTTTTATCTCATGGGAAAGCAAAACAGATGTAGTACACTAGGGGTAAGCCGAGCTTTGAAACTGCAAGGCTAACTGTCAAGTGTTTGATATTACCAATCAAAGTTTCGACTATCGAAAAGCCAAGAAAATTCGTGGTCACAAGGGTTGAAATGGATAAACGGTTAGTTCGAGTGACAAGCTGTGACCGAATTTGAAGGAAGCCATGTATGAGAAAGTAAATAAACACAAATTGGTCAAATATGGTCCATTATGCAATACATGAATGCGTGTTCATAGTTATCCCTTCCCCCTAACTCACTTAAGTTTATCTCAGGAATATTTGTGATAACGTTACGCGTTATTTCAGGTAAGATACGGTGACTTGTGCAGTGCGCGCAACACGCTAGTTCCATTTGTACTTATTGCTTGTCTCACTTTCAACTACATGTTTGACCAGTTCTACGATAGAAGTGAGAGGCTGTCAACCTAGCAGGCAAGTATGTGTAATCCAGATGGTTAGAGATTTTATTGCCCGATTACATACCATTGTTGATAGTCTTAACCATATGTGCATATTGATTATTATTGAAAATTGCCGTCTTTCAATTTGCTCAAGTTAAACACTTCAAGACAGACACCTAGAGATGTGTAAACACAGCCTGGGTGCCTCATTTGCATGTTTCTGCGACTTACAGAGCATTAGATTGGACATCATAAATACTGCAAGCATTGCGCGTATGTACTCCATGTTGCTATTTCTTCACCATGAGAAGGAAGGAAAGCAGTCGCTTATTTTATTTCTTTCACAACTCGACCTTGATACGGAATGATTACACTAACGCCATTAGTGACATGTACGGAGTGTAACACAGTGAATGACCTCTCCCTTCCAACGCTATAGGTTGTTCACTAAACAGCCAATGTCAATGGAGTGCTTATATGTCTAGTTTACTAACAGCATGTCTGGACAATCATGGGCCTTTATAGTAAGAGAACTATAAAGAAATAGCGTATCGATGGAACAAGTCCAATGTCGACAAGACATCAGGAGCGTTTATGTAAATTTCGCTAGTACAATTAAAAATTTTCCAGCTTACTAAACTCTGTATCTGTGTGCTCGGCGTGTTATTTACGTTGGCACATAGATTAATCGCCTACATGAATTTCGTGGAGGCGTGGTGGTGAGCACAGCGTTAATTTGCGTTTTCTCGGCAACGAATGAACAAGTTATGTCACGTGGTGCTAATGGGACAGGGTATATTCAGGTTCCTTTTTTAGCAAACATGGACACGAAATTGAAACAAGTCGGATTTGCGTCCCGTAAATGAGAAAATCGAGTTGGAGAAATTTTTGACGACATTCCAACTAACTGCTATTTCGGCCAGCGTCACCTGATGACCCCATAGATTTTTATGACCAATGAGCGGGTGGTGGTGGAAAGTATGACTGAGGTTTTCAAAAGCTGTTAAGGTGGGATGAGGTCACCCTTAGATGGTGATAACTTCCGCTGTATACATATTGCTTTCAGTCGCATTTGCTATGGAAAGTGGAATTTGTAGTTACTGTTTTAGTTGCTCTTCGCTGTGAAGTCATTGCAACCATACGGAGTTTCAGCTAGGGTTGCCAGGCCTGAGTTGCTTACTGAACTTGCGGACTCATGCACACACTGAGCAGTGTAGGAATATGTTGGAGGTTGGACTGTGTAAACGACCTCCGTAACAAGCCAACGTGCAGGCTCTTGGTTTTGACACATTAACGTAGTAACTGGAACAATGAGGTAATTTTGAATTAGCACACATTGGTTTTACTTCTGTGAGGCGTTGTACAAAATGTGTTCGCCTAGCCTATACGTGTCATTTGACCAGTGGCGTTTGCACTTTCCCTTTTAGGCGGAAGCACATTTGACTTTGACCACTCCTGTCCACGGTCCAGATCCCATTGTAATGGATTGTGATGTTCCTGATGACCGATCATCATCATCATATTGATGTCGTAGGCAAAAGGCAAACTAATCGATCGATGACACGCGCGAGGCGACGATCAGAAGGAAACGTCGCCCCAGCACTGACACTTGTGAAGTACCGCGGTCCACCTCAATCGCGTTGGATAATAAACCCCCGAAGCCGACCCTCCAACTTTCACTTTAGTTAGCCCAGAAACCATAGCGGTGCTGTCAAAGAACCATGAGGACTGAATTCCGAAGCAGGGGGGAACGGGTCAGTTAACCTGTCGGCAAAATCCACATAAATATTACTGATGGTATAACCAACAAATGCTCCCTGGTATCTTCATTAACGAATTCGGTCACTATGTTTTAATGTGTTCTGATAGAAAACAAGTCAACGTCGCACTTTGGGTACTACCGCTCAGCATCTGGTGGATCAGCAGACGTGAATAAGGCGCGGGATGATTGCAATCAACTCCCGCAATCCAAACTTGCAGTTCTCACTGATGGATGCTGGGGGTCAGATAAGATGGAATATGGTTCTATCATGGTCGCTTGGCTCTTATCATGGCGAATGATAGGTGGGAGTCCAACTCTGAAGCAGACTATGGAGCAGGTTCATGTGCATCTGGGTCACGGATGGCATTGACATACTGATTGACATTCCAGCTAAAGAGGTGGCGATATCTCAACAGACTACCCAGCCCTGGAAGTCAGGAGCTTGCTTTCTTTTTCTACTGATGCGTTTTAACGTACGTCATTTGCTGCAACCGTCACCAATAGTCTAGAGTACTTCTGTGGCTCTTCAACTACAAACCTGGCTAGTATAATAGCCACGTGTACTGCGCACAAGTAGAGAGATATGGTTTTGCCATGGTACGGCCGCACTCCACATGAAAACAGCTTAGCGCCCTTAGAATGGACAACATTAGAGCAGTTAGAAAATCAGATTACTGTTTTGTTATTTTACTGGCGAGAAATTAAAACACATACTCTTATCTTTCTGGAAGCATTCGACGCGGCATCTTCTACTCGGTTGATGCAAACCATCCAGTTAACCTATTCATGTTCTTGGATGCCTTTCGGGTCAACGTCGCAGCATACGAATAGCTCAATCCCATTGCGCGTGGCTACTTGGTTGGCTCTTGGTACACACTATCGGCCGGATATGAAGTCAGAGTGTCCATAGTACGACCAGGTGCGTGAAAAAGGGTTGCGGGGCAGCTTAAGTACTGTGCCATTCGGTCGGAACTAATCTGAGGTGCGAAAAAGCGATCGAAGAAGAAAGGTCACAAATTGTCTGACAGCATTACTTCTTG